TTTCCACGTTTGCAATGGAAGTTGAAATGAAAATAAAACTAGATCGCTCTGTTACCATGGGAGGGATCACATTTAATTTCATCTTTGGTGACTGAAAGTTCTGATGCAGTGTAATGACAGTAGGAACAGTTCTCAGTAATCTGTAGATGAAGAGTAAAATCCAAGATGTTGAGATGCTGATATTTTTACAGCAGCCCTGTGTATTGATAACCTTCCCTGAACCAGGCATTGTTCTGCAGGCTGAGAGCACTGCAATGCAAAGTTACATCCATTTGAAGCTTGCACACTCATGCACTGCATAACAGTATTTCTGTTGATGAAAGAACACATGTGCAGTAGTGGTCCCTTAGGGTTACAGTGAAACTGAAACATTCATATTACCCAACATCATGCCAACATAATCTTACTCACCTGTTTGTGGTAATGCTGGTATAAACACATTTATTACATGGCCACTAACATGAAAGTAGGGCACATATAATTGTGTATAGTACATAGTTCTTGAATAGTGATAATAAGTGACTATGTTATTGATTTATATTTCTACTGAATCATTACTTCAGTTTATACCTTATACTTAATAAAAATAAAGTTGACTGTAAAACTGCAAATTGTGACTTGGCAGCAGCTTCATGCAGCTCATATTTACTGTGTCTCTGAATCGCAGAAATAGACCATGTAGCGTGATTGACCTCACCCAGTTAGTTTTGTGTAAATGCACTCTGCGATGTCCACACGATGATTGGTGTGTTTAATACACACTTCTCAGAGCATATCCTTGTCCTTAAGCCCTGCATGACTGTCTTTCAGTCAGATGAAACAGGGAACACAGAAGAAGAAACAGAATGTGTTTGATGCTGCAAGTGGTAAAATAGTATGATCAATAAAAAATAAAGCAGGGACCTGGATGGATTAAAACCCTGCAGGTGATTTGATAAAGTCTGGTAAGCAGTCTTGTGTGGCCTGGGTGTGAGGTTAAGTGGAGTGTGGTGAGAGTGATGGATTTCACTGCTCGACAAGATTATTTTCTAGAGGACCATGTTTCAGCAGCCTGGAATATGTATGTTGGCCTTGCCAAACTTGTCAGTGTTCCATCCAGTGCGCCTTTGGGGACCACTGTAGTGGGGACTTTGCTGAATGTGGCTTTGGCTCACATTCAGATGCACACACTCTAGTGTGGAAGGACTGCAGTCTTCAAGCACCTGTACTAACATGGTGCATCCTAATAGTGGAGCAGCCCAGATGATGTCTTGATTCTAGAACCCAGTAAGATATAGCTGACCCTTGATCCTTGGAAACAGTATGATAATAATTGATGGTGTTTTGAGTGGCGGAGGTGGTTATAAAGCAGTAGAAAATTAATAGAGATGGAGTCACAGAAAACTTTTCAGGGTGGGATGCGTGGGTCAAGACAAGTTGTGGGAGTGAGTTTCGGGCAGTAGAAGAAGCCCTTGGAGTAGGAGATACTGGCAGAGGTGGCAGAGGTTGAAGGAGCATTGAAATTTTGGGTTACAGAGTGGGAAGGACAGTATCCAACTGATGGAGGTGAAGTTGGAATGTTCACTTAGAGCCAGAAGGGAAAGAGCCGTTGGATAGTTGTGGGTGTGATTTTTGCATGAAGGTGGTAGGAATCCCTTGAGGTGTCGGACTGTTGGACAGAGCCTTGGTTTTGAGAGGCTCCCCCAAAGTTTCTGTGCTGAGATGACTGCAGAGGGGCTAGAGCATTGAGGAGTCAGGATAGAGAGACTGCTGGGATGGGTGCAGGAACTGGGAACAAAAATTGGTATCAAGTGATGAGGAGAGTCAGAGTCCAGGAACATTTTCAAAATTGAGGATGTGGGTGAGGTTTCATGACAACTTGTGTTGGATGGAAGGAACGTGAAGGGTGGTTCCAGTGTTTTTGGTACTGAAATAAGACACTACCAGTACCTAGCTAGAGATGAGTGTACTGTGCAGAGTTTCTGGAAGTTTTCTGGTTGAGATGTGAATGACATGAAAATGGAGAAAGGAGTGAGTTGACTTTGGGAGAGACTAGTATGGTGTTCTGAGCACATGTACGGCATCGAAAGCCATGAGTCAGTGTTTCTAAGTCACTGTAGACATATAGATAAAAAGCTTAAGTCCAGGATCCTGGTGCTGTTAAAAGTGTTTTCAGGCTATTTAATCGCAATTATTTTTTCAAGAAGGTTTATTTGATAAGCAGAGAGAAAGAGAAAGGGAAAGAGAGATATTCTCCATTCTCTAGTATACGCGACCAATTGGCCACAGTGTCCAGGGTTGGGTCAGGCCAAAACCAAGCCTCGGCTTTCTCCTGACCTCCCATGGTGGATGCAGTAGCCAAGCATGTGGGCCCTTCTCACTGCCTTACCAGATGGATCAACAGGACACTGAGTCAGAAGTGGAGTGGCTCAGAGTCAAACTGGTGCCTATATGGGATGGAATGTCATAGGCAGTGGGCCCATCCACTTTGCCAAAATGCAGGGCCTGTCAATCACAATGATTTTGTTTAATGATTTACTAATTTTTGTTGGAAAGGCAGATATACAGGGAGAAGATACAGAAAGAAAGATCTTCCATCCACCGTTTCACTCCCCAGATGGCCACAACTGCCAGACCTGAGCCAATCCAAAGCCAGGAACTGGGAGCTTCTTCGGGGTCTCCCACGTGTGTGCAGGATCCCAGGGCTTTAGGCCATCCTCTACTGATTTCTCAGGCCACAAGCAAGTAGCAAGATGGGAAGTGAGGCATCTGGGACATGAACCAACATCCATATTAGCTCATGTGCAAGGCAAGGATTTAGCCACTAGGCTATCAAACCAGGCACAATCACAACATTTTTTCTGTCTTCTAATATATATCCTTCTAAAGTACTTGACTTGACTTAAAATGTTCATCTGTTCCTTTCTGGAACTTCAGTTCACTTACAAAATTTACATTTTTGTTAAATATACATTTTGAAATATCATACCTAGGGTTTGGTGGTATGAATCTGTATTTGACCTCTTTTGGGAAGATTCTACCCCAGCAAGGAGTAGTCAGCACCAAGAGGCCAGATCCCTGCTTCCTGAAACAAAGCACAGATTGGAAGTCTTCTTCCAGCCTCAGGTGATAAGAGCAAGCATTCATGTATGGTCATCCTGGGTGTACACCAGAGCCTAGTTCTTTAACTTTCTTGGATACCAAAGTCCTTCAGTGCTCAAGTCCCTTAAAAATGGCAAAATATTTGCATGTAACACATAGACAACCCCCAAATAGTCATCTCTACAACGCATGTATAGAGTGTGCATTATAGTGTATGTGCTTTGTGAACATGAGTGTTCATCAACAAACATATATGGAAAATGGAATTTAAAGGAAATATATTCTGATTCATAAAATTTGATGAACATGCATTTTTTAAAATAAAATTTCCACAAATTCTTTGAAGAGCCATTTTAAAAATTGTTTTGTTATTTAGGGGATGATAAATTCTGCACACATTCAGTATAGACACACATTTTTTGATTGTCCATGGTTGGTTGAATCAAAAAGTGTAGAGCCTATATGTATGTGACAGGGGAACTCTATTTCACCCTAAACTTCAAAATGGGATTTACAAGATCCATTGTTAGTTGGAATCAATTTGCTTTATTACTTTTATTACTTGCAGCTGGATTTAGTGGAAACGACTGACACTGCAAGCCCAGAATATTCGACAGCGAGAGTATTTTCTGTCTGAGTAACCGTGGACAGTATGTCTCTGCCTAGAGGCTTGGATGGATGCTAGGCAGTGGGAGAATTATGTCCCCCAAAGTGAAAGACTTGTACCTGTGGATACATTTTTGCATAAGCAGTCCGTTTATTTCATCCATTTCTTTTGCAAGTTGTTGCATATTTATTTGTGTACATGTATCTTAAAAATTAAGATGAAGCATTTGACATAGCAATTAAGACATTAGTTGTATGCCCATGTGCAATATGGGAGTCCTTTGGTTAAAATCCTGGCTCTGCCCTTGATTCCAGTTTCCTCTTAGTGTAAAATCTGTGAGGTAGCAGGTGATGACTCAGATAATTGGATCCTTGACACTCGTGTGGGGAGATCTGGATTGAGTTTCTGGCTCCTAGCATTAGCCTGGTTCAACCCAGCTATTATAGTCTTTTGAGGGTGAATCAGTCAATGGAAAATTGCTGTCTGAATCCTTCTGTCTCTGCCTTTCAAATAAATAAGTAAATAAACTTTTGAAAAGCTGGCAAATATTTCTTAGCAACTTCTTGGTTGCTTTTCTTGTTGCTTTCCCATTTTTCCACATAATGGTATCACATGATCTATTCAGTCTTGAATTGCTCCAGATGATTGGTAATTCTTAGAGTGAGCAATTTTTAAAAAGAACCACAGAGAAGGTGAAATGAGATCTTTGGAAACTAAGATAATTACTCATACCCTCTCTTGCTCTGAAAGAGAACTCCATACAGTGACCTTTGAGAGTTTGTGTGTCTGGTGGTTTGCGATCTGTGATGAAGTCACCAACCCAAGGCTTTCAACTATCTTGTTACCTAGGATAAGTTAGTGGTGTGGCCAGAGAGCAGGCAGCCGAATTTGCAGAGTTAGAGGTCTCCCAAGAAATATTCACTTGACCCATCGTGAGCATTTGCTTGGGTCTGACCAGTGGGTGGATATGTAATGCTGGTGGTCTTGTGTGAGCATGTTCCATTTTAAATCTGTTCACTCTTCCTGTCCTCTGCACAGCACTTTTTGTGTTTTTCTTTTTTTTCCTATTTTAGGATATGCTCCTTTTTGGCATATAAATTTTATTACTTCTCATCTAAAGACTACATTTTAAATAATTTAACTTTAGCCTGTAGATAGAAATTCCTTCCTGTCATTTGAGGAGGATTCAACACACTTTGCTTCCCTTACTGTTTTCTGTGTCTTTGAAAAGCATGACATTTTCAGTATCCTTTTGAAGTTGAGTGAACCAGTTGTATTCTTAAATGACAGAAGTGACTGTTTTCTTTTGTAGGTGCGCGGGGCTTGTTGAGAGCCATTCCTGGTTAAATGAAGCATCCTTTTGTAAGTAGAACCCTCTCTTTAACCATCAAGAGTCACACATGGGACATGCTCTGGGCAAGAAAAGATAAGATGCTCTCAAGTCTTAGGTTTCGTGGTTGAAAGATTGACACTTTTCAGAAACTCAGGGGAACGTGGTCCATATTGAGCATCGCACTGTTGGAAAAAAGGAGTTGCTCAATTTTCAATACATTAACTCCACACAATAATTTAGTCCAATCCAGGTTGAAGATTGCCAAACCATGGCCCATGGTCCAACTCCAGCCCTTTTTTTATAAGTAAAATGTTATTGGCATACAGATACTACCAATCCTGTGTGTATCATTTGGTTGGTTTAATAGTCATCTGTACGACATAATGTACTTACTCTCTGGCTCTTTAGAAAAAAGTGCCAGCCAGTGGTCTTTTTCATTTAAAGTTTTTCAGTCCTCAAATAAGTTTGGAATAACAGATATCACTCAATTTTTAAATTTATTAGGAGGGATTTAACCAGTGGGTTAAAATAAATAAAATATAAGTGTTTGACTTTCTAGTAGCATTTTGATTTTCACAGGTGTTTAAACTTTACAAATTTAACTATTATTTTAGTATCTATTAAGATAAAAGGGATTGAGTGTGTCTAAAATAGAACACCAGCATTTTATATCAAAATATTAGGTTGCATTCCCATAGAGCTTGATAATATTTAAGACTCAAATCTTAATGAATGTGTAATTCACATATCTCTTAAGATCTGTCTTACGTTATCACCCATGAAGACATGTTTATGGCCTAACATGAAGATTGAATTTAGTTGGGTTAAAATCTATTGGGGACTTACTTTGCTCAGATTCCTGTGCAGATGGGCGTGTGTATGTGCATATGTGTATGTGTGTTTGTGTCTGCAAATATTTTAACTTTGTTACTGGTAAGTCAATTGAGTTTGAATGTCAATGCACAACATATTTGAACTGATGTTCAGTTTATTATTGATTTTGATGGCAGTGTGTCTTGAAAGTAGTGACAGTTGATCCCATTCTCTCTCTCCCAGGGCAGTTTCTATTCCCACCTCACTGTCATTGTGGAGTGTTGTCACATAGTCTGGAACCCAGTAATATCATTGCAAGTTCTGTCTTATACTTTCTGGGCACAGGTGGAACACAAAGCTCAAAGTAGTAAAGGCTAACATTTTTAGGGAGAATAATAAGCTGCCTTTATTTCTACTCTAAAGTGAGGACAACAGAGAATCGTGTTTAGTGCCATGAAATTGAATTGCTTCTTGGTGTAAATTACCTATTTGCACCATGACTAGGGATGGCAAGGACACTGCCTTGAGAATGGACTGGACTTGCCTCCCTGATCGGGCAGGTTGCATGGAGGGCTCTCTCCCCACTGCCAGCCCTGTCTGGGTCCTGCTCTCCTTTTCATGAGCACAAGTGGGAAAGCCACAGAGACACTCCTTGGCAGGCTGCTTCTCCCTGGCAGCCAGCCAAGGACCCTGGGAACACCGCCTGCTGTAAGGAAAAGGAAATACAGCACTTCTAAAAGGTCCAAGAAAAACCAACACACTTGCACACACCCCTGCACACAGCATGTGTTTACTGAGCAAAATATACCGTTTTTAGTAAGTTTGCTTATCTGTAATTCCTAGAAAAACCACAGTACTTTTGTAATAATTAGGATTTTTACTCCTAATTTACTTTCTCTATTATACTTCTGTTACTCACTTAAAGGGTCCATATTCTCTTAAATGGATTGTTGTAAGTTGTGAATCTTCTTTCCCCATCTTGTTTCCTTCCAGCACTTCTACTAAGCTCCTGGGAAGGCCAAGGCAGCATTTCTATGGCTTCTGGTTCAAAGGCATGTCTTGGAGCTCAATGTGTAAACCCCCACTATCCTGATCAACTTGGTGGCCTTAAGAAAGGCATTAATCTTCCCTCCATTAGTTTCCTTGACTCTGAAATGGTGAGAGTGTCAGCTTGGTAGGAAAGTTGCAGAGATTAAATGATCAATACGTTTTAGCATAAGGCCAGGCGCATTTAGAAAACAATCCACAAAGGTCAGCTATTCCTGTCCTGTGGCTGAATGAATAACTCTCCTGGAGCTTGTGTTACTCTACACCGGCTCCTTCACTCAGCAGAGGTGGCTGCCAGCTTGCACAGCTTTGAATTGCCCTGTGTCCTCCGTTATCGGGTAATGGGGAACCGTTTATCCCATGGATACGAGCTTTAGTCCCTAGCATGTTTTAAAAGGTCTACATTGTGTCTTTATCATTGTTTTCTGAAATCTCTACAACCAGGATTTTCCCTCAGTTCTGAGGGGTGTGGCTTCCCCTTCCCCTCCCTTCTTGAAGCTGCCACATAGCTTTTGTGGCAACTCTATTTATGAAGCAACTAGGTCTTTACGAAGTGAGTCTAAATTCAGGTATCTGGCATGGAATAGGACCCCAGACTCTTTTGAAAGCTACCTTAAGATGCTCAGCATTGAGTTGTGCTATTGAGTATGCTATATTTGCATAAAATATGCTTTCTCAAAGAAAAACTGCTTTATTACAAACATGGGACAGATGAGAAACATTTTTTAGTTTGTGTTTTCAACTTATATCTGTCTCTTTAGTTTTATATTAGTTGAAAGCACAAACTAAAAAGTGTTTAAATGCATGTTAATAGTAGTTAGTGCTGAAACAAGGCCTGTGTAGAAATTGAGAAAAATTATTCTGAAGTCATTTTAATTTAAATTCAGTGTTAAGGCTCGATGGATATCTATGAACTACATTGAATCTGTTCCGTTTGTAGTTGTATCATATTAACCTAAAACTGGAGTTGTTGTAATGATCATGAATTTACCGTGATCCTACAAATCTCATGTATTAATAAATCCCTTAAAAAATAAAAAGATGTAAAATTAAAAAATTAAAGCAAAACTTTTTAAAAGCGCAATAGAACAGTCAAACCCATAAACTCATTGCTGTGTGTGATTGAGTCATGTATTTTTCTATATAAATGCATTCATTTTATAATGCATTGTATGTTGATAAGAGAGAAGGATTCAGTAAAATTTCAGATATTTTTGTTAGGATTATAAAAGTGGGCCTGGTGCAATAGCCTAGGGGCGAAATCCTTGCCTTGCACCTGCCAGGATCCCATATATGGACACTGGTTTGTATCTGGGCTGCTCTGCTTCCCATCTGTCTCCATGCTTGTGGCCTGGGAAAGCTATAGGATTAAAAAAGCAGGAAGAAAATCTTCTTTAAAACTTTGTAATAATACTGCATTGGTCTTTTATACAACAATAGTTTTTTAAAGGTATAATTTACCAATCTTAAATGCAAAGTTCAGTTAGCTCTGATGAATATGCATCTTCAACTAATCACATTAATAAAGGACAGTTCTATCTCCCAGTAAATTCTCTCTTAGCACTTTCTAGGTGTTTCTTCCTGTTAGCACTTGAAATCATTGTTCTTCAGTCTGTTACATAAATTAGCTGGAACTGTCTTTGTGTGATGTAATTGGAGTCGTCCACTAAGTACTTTCTGTGCGGATTCCTTATTCATTCTTCTGCCTTTGGGGTTCATTTTCTGTGCTGAATCTGTCAGGCATGCCTTTCACACACACTTGTATTGTGTGTGTACATTCCTTGTGTGAATGTACTGCAATCCTCCTGTTGAATGCACATTTCAGTTATTTCCAGTTGTGTGCTTTGAATAAAATTGTTATAAATATAGTTGACTGAGGTTTTTTGTGAACGTATGTTTGCCTCCATTTTGGATAATACAGGTGGCATTTTGGGTCAGTTTATAAGATACCAATAGGCTTTCTCATCGGTAGAGTTTGTGTGTTTCAGTTGTTCTTTATCCCCACCAACATTGATTGGATTATTACCTTTTGAGTGATAATCATTTGCTGGCTATGATACATTGTGTTCATGTGCTTATATTTTGCATTTTGATGTTTTCTGGGTTTTTTTTATTTCCTTAAAAGTCATCTGGTGAACAGATTTTCTTAAAGGCTAATGTGTATCATTCTTTGTTTTGCAATTAATGGTTTCTGTAACACTTGAAAATTTCTACTTACTAAAAGGTGATAAAGATAATCTAGTTTTTTTCTGATTACACTAACTTTTTAGCCTATATGTCTGTTATCTTTCCCACAAATATGTTTGGTGTAAGGTAGGGGTTCAGTATTATTTTTTAACAAATGATTGTCTAGTTGTCCTATTTACTGAAAAATATTTTTCATTTTGCATTTAATTATTCAAATGCGTTTGTCAAAAGTCAGTTTTACATATGTGGGTCTGTTTTTTGCCCTTCTCTGTCCCTTCTTTGGTGTTCTTATTCCTAACGATACAATGTTGGGTTTCAGTATCTTCACGGAACAACTTGGCCCTGCTGTTCAGGATGAGAACTGTCTTATCAGTGTGAACACAGATAACCTAACCTTGTAGATTCCTCTCAGTGGCTCACATTTCCAAAGAATGTGAAACATTGCTGAAACATGATTCTGACATTGAATTTTGCTGGTGGAATGTGTTATGCAGTTGGATGACTTCAGTTTGTTCAAATATGAGAAATGTGGTGTAGTACACTGCATTTCACTGGGATTTAGGTCAGAGAATAAAACTGAAAAGAAAGGCTTGGGTGAGCACAGAGTGCAGAGTGGCCTGAAATGAATAAGTCTAGAAGAAAAACTGAATTGAGTAACTGGAATTCCAATTAGCCTCATAATTCTGGATAACCAATGCTTTAATGGTGCTTTGGCATTGCTTTTTTTGGTTGCCAATGGAGGGGTTTGTTCCCCCTGTAAAATATATCCTCCCAAGTGGTAAATAGCACACAGTATATTTTTGGAGAACAGAAATTGTGTTACAAAGTAACAAAGGCATAGAAAGAGTTCTGTGTAAGTTCTGTTGCTGACAATGGGAACATTTTAGAAAAGAAGACAGTTTATTCAAAAAGCCTCTTCCTTCTCTGTCCTTCCTGTTCATCAGTGCAGGGTCCTGTTTTGCCAGCTAGGTTGTCTGAAGGA